TGCTGAGGCTGGAAGCTGCCTGAGGCTCCGCCCCACCCCGGCATGCTGAGGGCAAAGCAGAAAAGGCCTCTGCTTTGTCGGGGAGCTTTTCCCAAGCCAACGTTTCTTTGTATCTGACGGAAGGGTTGAGTTAAGAGGCAGCTGCTGGGAGACAGCACAAATAAATACAGAAAACCCTCTCCAGGGGCTGCTATTGTGCTTGGTACAATGGCAGGCCCTGGAGAGCATTTTCATCCAGTTGAAACTGGAAAGTAAAATAAACGTGGTCATATTACACACTGCTCCATAGCCCCAGACTTCCACAGACTGCCCCAGAGCGCTGTAGGAGTACAAGGGGGGCACTGCTCAGGGTCCTGGGGGAGATGGGAATTCAGGGGGTGGAAACAGGTCCTGCAGCCTCTGGTCCAGATTCCCTGAAGCTTTGGGCACCGTTCCCCGACCACCCTGGGCTTCCTCAAGAACTTCCAGCACCAAGTCCCCTCCCTTCCCAGGGCTTTCCGGCCCACAATGGGCCATGTCCAGCAGGGTAGGGCTGCAACACGCCCAGGCAAGGCTGCTTGGTCTGGGACGGAAGAGGCACCCCCTTCCAGCACGGGGGCAGGCAGGGCTGAGTGGGGCTGGTGGCTTTCTCCAGCTGAGGAAATGTCCCCAATACCATGAGCAGCCCCACCTTTGCAGCCTTTGTTTGCTTGAACAGTTAGTAAGATCTTTCTAGAATTAAAGCCTTCTTTATTGGGAATGAGTTTCAACTCTTCTGCAGGTGGTGTTTCTAAGCATCCCTTGAAGAAGCTAGGGAAATCCTCCCCACCCAGGAAACACTGGTCAAACAGCTCTAAACCCCTTGGGAAGAGCTAAGCCCCAACCAGCACCTCCAGATGCTTCTGTTCTGAGCAGCCCACCACCCTGGCTGGCCACAGTGCCCTGGGACACCTGGGCCCTTCTCTTAATGACAACTGTCCACAAGCTGGGAGGACAGCTGAGTATAACGTGTGGAGAGTTGGGCTTGGGACCGGGGTGACCATGGTTGGGATCCCAGCCCCACCACGTGGTAGGCAGATCTTGTACAGGACACTTAGTTTCTCTGGGTCTGTTTCCTAAGCTCTAAAATAGAAGCCACGCAAGGAACTACATGAAATCCGCCACAGTGGGCTTAGCCCAGGACTTGGGAATAGTAAGCCCTTATACCTGGTAGCAACTTTGTTAATAAAAGCTAATGTTTGAATGCTCATTCTGTATCATGCGGGGTCCTGCTCTACATGAACTTTCACAGTAACCCCTCGAGGTTTACTATCCCTGTTGTAATAGAAACTGAGGCTTAGAGAAGTGCGGCAAATTGTCACTAGTTACACAGCTACTGGACTTAAACGCAGGCAGTGTGACGCTATAGCCTCCACTAAACTGCTTGGTAGTCCTTCCCATTATTATTATCATTGTTACTATGATTAAAATAGAACAGCTTCAGGGGATCTCAGGCTTAGACTATTATTGGCTAGAGAAACAAAGCGCTGTTACCGATGCGTATGAAGGAAGTTGTGGGCTTGCTTTAGTGCTGGGTATGATATGACGGAGCAGCCCTGGCGGTGCAATGGTTAAGTGCTGGGCTACTAACTGAACGGCTGGCTGTTCAAACCCACCCAGCAGCTTCATAGGTGAAAGATCTGGTGATCTGCTCCTGTAAAGATTATAGCAGAAGAATCAGAAGGTAGGAGACACAATCCTGGAAAACCCCATGGGCAGTTCTACGCTGCCGTATGAGGTTGTATTAGTCAAAATCAATTCAGCAGCACCTAACAACAACATTGATAGGAAGGCTAGAGGGAAAAAAAAAAAAAGTCCCGAACAAAAACTAAAATGCCTCAATGATTAAACTATTATAAATAATACTGCTCCTTATCCAAGCACCAGAAGCACTCATTATCCGCTCCCATCTGTTAACATAACGCTTTCCTGTGTCCAAGCACTTTGCCTGACTTCGTCTGACTTCACTGCCCTGTGACACAGCCAGAGCAGGTTTCGTTCCTATTTCACACACAAGGAAACTAAGACTCAGCGATTCTTCCAGTCTAAGTGGTTAATTAGTGGGTCATTAAAAAAAAATTAGGGTACATATATATGTAACTAAATGCCATTTCAACTGTTTTTACAGGTACAATTCAGTGACATGGCTAATTTTTCTTAATAAAGATCACGGACGTTCCTTAAGCAATGACTATGCGCTGGGCACTGGGCTAAGGGCTCACCATGTGTTATCATTATTTAGCAACGATCTTCTTTTGGATATTATTATTCTGCCCATTCTGCAGATGAACAAGTTGAGGCATAGAGAGGCTAAATAACTGGTGCTGAGACACATAGCTAGTGAGTACCTCTAGAACCGTTGTTCATAACTGCCTCTTGGTGGGAGTGATGGGCAGAGGCGGAGTAACCAGTAAGCAAGGTATGCACGGGCTTATTTGTGCTTACTAACCTGTAGTGCGCAATTTCTCCTGTTTTTCACCACATCAAGACATGATAAAACCCATGTGAAAGTATTCACTACAGATGAGTAAATAAGCACAAGTAAGCCCATGCATACCTTGCTTACTGGGTAATCTGTCCCTGGTGATGGGGTTCCTAGCCAGAGTGAAGAGAACTGGCTGGTCTTACCAAGAACCTACTCTGTGCAGTGCACCCTGGGAGATTTAGAAGGTAGGAGACACAAGCCTTGCCTTCTGGAGTTCACAGGCAGTGGGATGTGGAGGAAAATAGCATGGGATTTGAAGTGGGACAAACCTGGGGAATCCCAGCTCTGGTACTCACGGGCTGAAAAAAAAAAAAAACCTCATTGTCGTCGAGTCGATTCCGACTCATAGCAACCCTGTAGGACAGAGTAGAGCTGCCCCACAGAGTTCCTAAGGAGCGCCTGGTGGATTTGAACTGCCGATCTTTTGGTTAGCAGCCATAGCACTTAACCACTATGCAACCAGCATATTTCGTTAGCTTGTTTCTCACCTCACTAGACAGACTAGGAAGAAAGGTCTGGATATCTACTTCCAAAAATCAGACAATGAAAACCTTATGGAGCAGAACCGTCTTAATCCCCAGCTGATCGTGGGGATGGCACAGGACCAGGCAGCATTTTGTTCTGTTGTACGTGGGGTCATCAGGAGTCAGCGGCCAACTTGAGGGCAGCTACCACCACAGTGGAGCTCCGACTCTCTGCCTTGCACGGCTGTTGTGAGGGCCGTGGTTAAGGCCAAGCTAAGGTGCCTGGCACTCGGCCCAGAGAAATCTTACTACAGCTTCACTTAGCAGCAGGTACACACACACAGCTAACATTACTAGGCAGTACTTGAAGTGCCAAACATGAGACTCAACCAGAGGCATGTGAAGAATTTACTGGGGCAGACTGGGCTGGATGGAGCAGGGCAGACTCTGAGAGAGGGCACGAACTCAGGCCCTTCTTTGATTTAGGGCACATGGAGCCCATAGGAAATTAGAGCAGACAATGCTAAAGAGCTGATGGACAGCAGGTTTCACATAGCAACCTTGGCCACTGCCTTCTTTCCCTGGGGCTGGGTCCTCTCTGCTCTCCACTTCTTTGAAGAGTTGGACCTTGTACAGAAGAAATACCATTGGCAAAGCTGCTGAGGCCCAAGAGGACATGGTGTTTGGAAGCGCCAAAGTGCAGGATGGCAGGGAGGGGCATTGTGGGTGGTGAAGCTGACCTGGAGGCCGATTGTGAAGGGTCTCGGACTCCCTCTGCTTCACGGTGTGTGTGAGAGGACTAACTACTGAAGTGAGGCAAGAAGTTGATTTTCAATGAAGGGACAGTCAACAGTGTCAAATGCCACAGGGAGCTGATGATGAGGTCTGCAGAGTGACCACTGACTGTGGTCATTAGTGCCCAAAGCAGTGGTGGTAGTGTGGGGAAGAGGTGTGCAGAACACAGACCTGGAGCTCGGGCCTCCTGACCTGTTTTCTACAGCACAGAAGTGAACATGCTGATTGTCTGGAGAACCACCTCAGTGTCAGCGTCAGGTGAGGGCCCATGTGAATGCCAGCATGATGAGCATGTACAGGCTCGACATACACACAGTGGAACAAAGGTTGTGGTCAGAGGAGGACATCTTGAATATAAATAAAACCCCAAACCAAACCCATTGCCGTCTAGTCAATTCCAACTCATAGCGACCCTATAGGACAGAGTAGAACTGCCCCATATGGTTTCTAAGGAGCGGCTGGTGGATTCAAACTGCTGACCTTTTGGTTAGCAGTCGAGCTCTTAAACACTGCGCCACTAGGGCTTCTGAATATGAATAGACCCTTGTATTTTCTGGCAAGCCCCAGAATCTTGGCAGTGAAGATAACAAGCAAGCTGAAATCCAACACATAAGCTCTTGGCTGCTAACTGAAAGGTCGGTGGTTCGAGTCCATCAGCTGTTTTGTTGGAGAGAAGACCTGGTAATCTACTCCCGTAAAGACTGCAGCCTTGGAAACCATACGGGGCAGTTCTACTCTGTCATGCAGGGTCGCTACGAGTCGGAATCAACTTGACGGCACACAACAATGATGCCCAGGAGGTCAAGGATGAACTATGCTTTTTTCCTATTGCTTTTGAATTTTTATTAAAATGGCCCACATTCAGGGTGGCTCAGAAGCTCTTGTCCTCGAACCTCCTCGAATCCCCAGGCTTGTCTAAATGCTGATGCTGTCGCTGTTCTGTGTCATAAATAAAATCAACCACCAGCTAGACCAGCACAGCGCAACAACTGTATGCAACTTTTTGTTTTGTTGGCTTTGTTGTCATACTGTTGGGTCTGGATTATTGAACTAACAGTATCTGGAATATACCGTTGTTATTTGTTGTATTTTCTCCTCCCACTGGCCTTCCTACGTGATAAAAATGCATTCCCAAGGCTTTGGTTTGATTCCATTTTTTTTTTTTTTAATTAGAAGTTGGGTTGACACTTTTTAAAATAGGGCAGACCTTTAAAGGGAGAAGCGGAACAAGAAATAAAACACGGAGTGGAGGCGTTTACGAATAAAGCGCACAACTTTATTCATTGCGTTGCTCTGAGTACAACAGTGATGCCTAGTACAGTGGCATAGGAGTGCAGTGAAGTGCTGCTTGCAGGAGCGTGGGCAGGTGAGGGGTTGTAAAGCACAGCAACCTGGAGCCCGGCAGGCTACCTCCTCCCCTGCAGACAAGCACGTGGTACTCAGGGTGCAGATGGACAACCACTCACTTCCACAGGGGACACGACACAGCTTTTAAAATGGGGTTCTTGCAAATATTTGCTTTCATATTTCGAAAGGGGAGGGAGGGAGAGAAGAACTGTATGCCTTCCAAACTTCAAAACAAAACAAAAACAAAAATCCACAAATTCCACTTAAAATGAAAGACCTGTAAGAGCTTTGATGGAGTGCTGTCAGTGACTCACAGGTATCACACATGATGAGAGGACACGTCTGTACATAACAACCCAGAAAGAACATTTTTGTGAACAATTGTCTTCTTTTCCGTAAGGTAAAGCAACAGATGCAAATACAGTCATTTAGTGGCTTACCACCTTTCTGAGTCAACACACACAGTATCATCTCCTTCCACCTTGGGTCAACAGGTTCCAGAAGTGACTCATGGGTATTTCACTCTCGCAAGAGACACTTTTGGGAAGAATCTTATTTAATGATAACAGTCACACTCAATTACACTAAGCTTCAGAAAAGGCTGGGGTCATTTAATTTTGCAGTGTAGACACACATTGTTAAGAAAGTTTCTTGCAGCTTAAACAGACTACCCCCCCGCCCCCCACTTCTTTGTTCATTTGAGTTTACTGTAAATTAAACTGGACCAAATGAAAATATAAAAATCCATATGCCAAGCATATCGGTCACCATCTCTCCACTGCTTCCTGGCCAGCAGATGGAAAGATAGCAATTGTTTTAAAAAATGCCAAACAGAAAGGTTTCTCTCTCATCACAATGTAGCTCCCATAACGTATATTATCACCGTAAGATGGTATCATTGCAAATCTCAAGCCCTAAATATCTTTTTCTGGACAGAAAGTGCTTCGAAAGGGAACAATGAAGAGTGCCTTTTAGGGCATACTGACAAACACTTGGCTCCTCAAAAGAAAACAATTTTAAAAATCAAATACAATCAGTGTTGGCATTGGAAGTACAGATGAAATAGTTTCTAGAAATACAAAGAGGTGATTTATAAAAACCGAGTTTGCTTTGGAGGGCAGAGAGGGGTTGATGATGCAGAGTTCATTTTGCTTCCACTGTCCTTCATGACCATCGGATAAGGCGCTGTAAGCACAGAGCCTGGTGCAGCCGCCTGCCACGTCAAAACGTCAGTGAAGGCTGGCATCAAGTTTGTTTTTCATAGTTTTTAAAAAGACCTAAGTACTCAAAAGTGGTTGATTTTTTTTAAATTTGCATAAGTGTACATATTTTACATAATCATCTAGGAAGCAACTGTTTAGAAAAAGGTGTTTGCTTCAAAGTGTAATGAAATTAGGTGAAAGTTTTAGAAACGTTACCAGCTCCACCACTCCAAGTCGATTGATACGACCAGACTGAGAAGGGGAGGAAGAGAGTGAAAAAAGAATTGTTGCAGCCTTCACTTCAAGAGGAAACTTGACTGGGAAACAGCAGACTTCAGGAGAAGCGGGGAGGTGGGGGAGGCAAGGGAGGCCAGCTTGTTTTTGCTTTTTTACACCTTTTACCCACTAACTCTAGCTTTTCTGTTTGAGGTTTCAGAGAATAGACTATCTTTAATTTTCAAAGAAATCATATTAAGAACACCTCACAACTCACCCCAAAGCCAAACGCAGATGCATAGCTGCACAAGTTTCCAAATGCTATTCATATAATAAATAACATGGGAAGATTAAATGATATTCTGGCTTTTCTGGAAGAAACTTGGAAGCACTGACTTTCACATCTTGTGTATGCCTCTTTCACTTTTACTTTTTACAATCGGTGTGATCTTAAAGAGGCACAGGTACATCAAATGCTCAAGAATGTAGCCCTTTATATACGCACCGAGGAAGCTCGATGTGCACAGAATTCCTCCTCAGAGTGAACAACCCCCGCCAACCTGTGTTCATTATCTGAATGTCAAGGGCAGTGTCGGGCAGGGTTCAAGCTGAGAACATGAATCTTCTGTACTGTGTCCTGGACATTTTGAGGACACGCATGCTGAGCCTGGGGTAACATCACAGAGAGGGAACTGCAGCCCATACATTTGATCCGGTGGTTAGGAGAACCAGGCTGCCCGTGACCTGTTCTCCCAGCTGGAGCCCACTCTGCATTCTGGTGTCCGATGTCCTCTCCCCAAAGCAGAGCACTGCTTGGCTTGGAGACAGGAGGCTACTGGTATTTTCTAACAATGCGTTTTTGCACGGGGTAGTTTAGTTAGTATGCTTGATATGGAGCCAAGTCTTCCCTCCTCCCCGCCCCCCCACCCTTGGATACAGAACTCAGTTCAAAAGAAACAAGAAAAGTAGTTTCATTAATGGGAACAGCCTTAGAGTTTAGCTCTTCTCACTATCACTGCCGTCTTAGGCAGGCCCCTTAACTCAGGGTCTCTGCCACATAAGCAGAGTTGGCCCTTTTTTTAGACTAATGTCCTGATCCTAGGACACAGCTACTAACAGACCAATGGGCAGGAATTTTAGCAAAACCACCTGATTGCGCCCATGTTTCCCAAATACCTTGAGTTTTCCTACACTGACATTTGATCTGCAAAGTTATGCTTGAGTCAGACCTCCTTCATCAGTGGAAACCTTCGGGGCCCGCTGGTGTCTGCATAATGAAAAGAACTCCTCTGCCGGCTGAGTGCTGGGACCCCCTCAGCCGCCACTGTAAATGACCGCAGCGGGGACAGGCTAGGGTAGAGTGGTCCCTACTCCTATACCCTCACACATCACAAGGAGCCTGAAGGGCAGGAACCCAAGGACGGGACACACAGGCTTCGGGCCAAGGCTGCCAATGTAGGAGAGGTCAGAGAGAAGATGGGAGAGTGAAAATATCCGACGAAGCAAGAGGCAAACGATACATAGAGGCAATGCTGCGAACTGCAGCTGGACCTCGGGTCCAGCAGGGGCTGGTCTCACCTCCTCAGCACCACCCCATCCAATATGTGCATATGCCTGAACACACACATATACGTGTATGTGTGAGAACGGTCCTCAAACATTCAGTGCATAGCACTGCAAAGGCAAGCAAACGTTGATTCCTCCTGCAAGCAGACAGGAGAATGCGGCAAAGCAATGAGCATCCGCTCCAGCACCCAGCGCGCGGACGTGTGCTGCCAGTTGTAGGTTGCAGCTCAGGTTCCGGAAATATTCTACTTGCTTTTTACCATCAGCATCAGATAGACAGCTAGCAATCCTAATACTTGGTGCCAGCAGGAAGAATTTCTGAGCTTTTATTATGTGACTGATGCAGATGAATTCAAATGCTTTCTCCTTTGGCTTTAAAATAGAGCTTTCAATTCCTAAGCAGAGCTCCAAGCATGAGAATAAATGTGTCTTTTCTCCTTCTGTATGTGGAGTTGGAGAGACCCTCCCTCATCTGGCTCGCTTCCTATTTGAGTCACAGTGAGATGCCTTCAGGAATCACACTGCGGTCTTATATACGTGTGCTGGTGAAATCTTAGGCTCAGACTTGAATCTTGTGTTGCTGAGTTTGAAGACTCAGGTGAGAGGCTCTGATCCCCACACACAGCCTGGTCTATCGTCTTCAGTCTGATACCAACATTAGCTACCTTTGTGCATGGCTGCTAAGCACCAACGCCCTTCTGTGAAGGAGGTGGTGTCGGGCATGGGCAATGTAGCTTCATCCAAATCTTTGAGTTGGGTGCACTGCGTCTATGCAGATGTCGCTAAGAAGGTTCAGCACAGTGGGACAAACATTCAAGCAGAAATGAGACTAAAAAGCATATGTGCGCACACGCACACACACACGGCTAGGCAAGATGGAAAGGCCAAATTAAATCAGTTTGAAGCAATCTACTTTGGAGTTGCAGGGATTGAAAAAGAGAAAAACGTGCCTTTCCCTAGCCTATTACTGAACTGACCTTCAAAAACAAGATCAGCGTTGGGCTTGATCTGATTCGCAGGACGCCAGATACAGAGGAGAGGGGCTGGGCTGGAGAACGTGCGTGCGTTGCTAGGACACCAAACTTTTTTTTTTTTTTTGCCAAGAGTGATGCGGCCCCTGGGCAGACATGGCTGCAAGTGTCACTGAACAGCACGCCACCTGGCCAGTCTGGAGCAAATCTTTCCCTTTCCTTTCTTTGCAAAGGTGACCCAAGATATCTCCTTGTTCTTGGCGGGGAGGAAGAATTAAGCACGCTATCTTCAGCAGAAAAATGTTAAAGGAGGTTTTCCTTTTCTTTCTCTTCAAAAAAAAAAGCCAAGTCCTTTGCTAACCATGTCCTAGCAGGTAGTAGAGAACAAGGAGCTTGTTAAAAACAACTTTTGCTGAAACTCAAAAACAGAGTTGCCCAGCTGCTAGGCTGCGATGTCCATTCCCGCTGAGCGTGGGCGGAGCTGCATGAGGCCCTAAGGAAAGGCTGGTGCAGAATGGCTGTGGCCACATGGATAGGTCCTGGGGGTCTCTCTTCTTAGCCACCCTGCTACAGAATAAATATTCATACTTCGGAATTCTTACAACTGTTTTGTTTTGTTTTTCTTATGCGGCATCCTAAGGGCACTTGCTGGCTCTTATCCTTACAGTCAGGGCTATGGTTGAGCAAGTTAAAGGAAAACAAAAGAAGAAAGTAGCTCCTGCTGTGTATGCAGGGCCATGTCAAAGGTCACGTGTGAACATTACTGGTGAGTTTGAGAACATAGAAATTTCTACCCCATTGCTTCTTGGCAAGTGCTGCTGATGGTTGGCCCAAGAGTCGGCTCATGGGTGTTCTAATCAGATTTTTCCCTTTTATTGTTGCTGAGAGACAGTAGTTTGCAAACTCTCCAATCAAGTTTTGGGCCTTAATACAACATCCTATGTGTCCCCGCCATTGTCACTCCTTTTGCTAATTGCTGTCTATGTGCGGGACTTAGAAGAGTTTTGCTTTTTTCTTCATGTCGTTGCGTCTCCAAAGAGGTAACCTGTCAAACTCCTGTATGGACATTCCAAAGATTTCCCGAAACACTTCCGGGGACAGGTGGCGCTGCAAAAGGAGGAAAGAGCAGGGGTCAGTGCTGACAGTCACGTGGATGGCTCCGAAAGTTGCTCTCCAGTTTACAAACAGTCATTTCCAAGAGCAAGGTCGGATGGCGAGAGAGGCGCTTATCTCAAGCCCTGAGGCTTGTGACAAGGCCCTGGGTATAGGGGCTCCTTACCTGGTCAGGCCAGGTGAGGCGTCCTCCCACCAGATCGCAGAGCTGGCAGAGTAGTAATGATTACCATAATAACACTGAACAGTGAGGTGTTATTAAAAACAACAATACAACGACAACAAGAACCCAGAAATTAAACCCATTGCCACTGAGTTGATTCTGACTCATGGTGACCCCGCGTGTTACGGTAGAACTGAGCTCCATAGGGTTTTCTTGGTTGTAATCTTTACAGAAGTAAATTGTCAGGCCTTTCTCCTGCAGCTTTACTGGGTGGGTTTGAACCACAAACCTTTCGGTTAACAGCTTAGTGCAAACTGTTTGCACCACCGGGGACCTGGTGAGAGGTATAGGAAGTGATATATTATGCTGGAGGTGACTCTGCTTCAGGTCCTCGGACTGTTGAGAAGATACAGAAAAAATGTACCACAGCAAGAAGAAAGCTAAAGAGGCAGGGCTTCAGAGTGATCCTCTGGAAGCCCCAGGGCTTCCTCCTGGCTCAGCAACAGGAGTTTAGGTGGATGCCGGTTCTTACTGGGGAGACCATCCATCTGTCCTTCCTCCTAGGAAAGTTCCCTTGAGATACTGGGGCCTCCATTCTCTGGGCCAGGCTCACCTCTTACACAAAGGTGCTGCCTTTTGTCAGGGAAAAGTAATGGTTCTTTAAGAGGCTCGAAGCCGGAGTTTTTCTTAATTAAAATCATTCGGATGGAAAAGAACAAAGATCAGTCTTCCATGTCTGAGATCTTGGGTATGTGGACCCAGATAACCCTTCAACAAGGAATGCAGAAACAGCCGAGAGAGAGACTTGTCCAGTGTCAACCTCTTTATTGAGGGCTCCCTCTCAACAGAGATCTACGAATATCTGCAGAGGGATAGAGATGCCCGTTCCTTCATCACTAGCCATAATTATGGCACCATCGGATTTCCAGAGAAAATGACTACATTTATACTGTGGCTCTTGGGTGGTTCTTCTGTGTTTTACCAGGCATTTTTATGCTTGTCTCTTAAATGTAAATTTGAGTCAAAGTTACCTCTTAGTTCTACCTACAATATTGGGTTGATCCTTTTTATTTCATTTCACTTCATTTTTGCTTTCACTGAAGAAAGAAACCATTTTGTAGGGGAAAGTTGGGGGGAAAGCACAGGGAATTGCAATTGGAAATGGATTTTATTTTATTTTTTTTACCTCCAGCCTGGTTCTGTCCACGTCTCTTAGGATTTTGTTGCGCCCTCTGTTGGTCACCATGAGCATTTCGTATGGAAAGATCTGATAAGGAAAGAAAAACATCTCTTTTAGAACAGTGCTGTCCACTTTATTAACAAGCAGAATCCACTTAAATCTGGTACTCCCAGGACAGAGTTTCTAAGAGGTTATAATTACAGCATCAGAGCAACGGGTGTTCCTCCTTCAAGACCAGATGAAGCTCAAGTTCCCTGGTGGACAGGGACACATTCTTATACATTCCTGGCTGTCCATACAAGTGTCTCACGTAGCAATGTGCCTTTAGAGAGTCTTGTCGAGTGAAAGAAAACAAACTTACTATGTATTGGGGATGACGATACAAATTTAAAGAGAAGTGATTATTTAACCACAAAGAGAAATGAAGTTCTGATACATGCGACAGCATGAACCTTGAAAACATTATGCTGAGTGAAAGAACTCCGCCACAAAAGGACAAGTATTGTATGATTCCATCTCTATGAAATATGTAGAACAGGCAACTGCATAGAGACCAAAGTTTATTAGTGGTTGCCGGGGTGGGTAAGAGGAGGAAATGGGAGGTTTTACTTAAGGGGTACAGAGTTTCTGTTAAGGTTGATGAAAAAGATTGGAAACAGGCACCCATTGCCATTGCCGTCAAGTTGATTCCAACTCACAGCGATCCTATAGGACAGAGCAGAACTGCCCCATAGTGTTTCCAAGGAGCAGCTGGTGGATTCGAACTGCTGACCTTTTGGTTAGCAGCCAAGCTCTTAACCACTGTGCCACCAGGGCTCCTGGAAACAGATAGTGGTGATGATTACACAACATGGTGAATGTAATTAGTGTCACTGAATTATACATGTAAAAAATATTGAAATGGTAAATGTTTTTAGATATATACTTCACACAATAAAAAATGGTTGAAATGGCAAACGGTTTGTTATAGATATTCCCAATCAAAAAAAAAAAAAAAGAGAGAGAGAGAGAGACAGA